CTCTTGAAGTGATCAAGGAGGTCGATCCTCTCGAAGTGATCATCTCCTTTTCTTCCCTTTTTTTCATGATAAAACCCTAGGGTCTTATCAGAAAATTATGCGAACAAACGATGATCTTGAGATTTTTATATCGTTCACTATGATTCTTTCATTTTATTAAAGAAAATTATCCAAATAAATCATGATTTGTCTTTTGATTTCTCGGAATTATAACTTGAGATCTTTATATGAATCAAGATATTTCTTTATTTATTCTCCTATGATTCTTTTGTTGTTTATTAAAGAGGATTTTTATCCAAATTAACCATGATATGTCAATTGACTTCTTAAGGTTTATGACTTGAGTTTTACATATAATACTCCTTTACATTTATGAATTATATACCTCATCACTTTTGATTTAAATTTATCTTTTTATCATGATTTAAAAATTAATGTAAAAGAAAAAAATTATAACATTGTATTCTTTCCTACTTTTTTTATAATGACTAAGGGAGAGAAGTTATAATGACTAAGGTTGATGTAGTTTGATATTTTGAAATTATTTGAAATTATGCATGCAGTGATGTTTTAACTTATGAATTGATATCATATGCATAAAATAATAGTTTAACTATGATGTGTTGTATATAACCTTTGCAAAATCATTAAAATTGTTTTGACACTGAATTTAAAGGACATCATTTTATCAGAAATTATGTTAATAATCACGATATATCTTTAGAATTTATTGATATAAAATATCAATTAGCTAATATTTTTTACAAAACCATTGAATGAGGAATAATTTGATTTTATCAAAATAGAATTAGGTATGTTAAATCTTCCTAATGCATGAATTCTTCTTATATATTTTTTGAATTTCTTGATTTTTCGTAACTTGAGTTTTCCTTTTAAATCGAGATCGTTTCATTCATTCTGCAATCCAAAAAAGAAGATTTAATTTATGAATTTTTGACATAATTGATCTTTTATGTGATGATCATATGAATCCTTCGTTCTATTCACAAAAGAACTTTTATGAACTTTCGATACTTATGACTAGATGAATGAATTCCTCTATTTTTCTTCTTCTTCTTCTTCTTATTTTTTTTATGACAAAGGGAAGAAAGAAACTTGCTAGCATATTAATAAACGCAAAATGCTAACTTGTATATCTCAAGAAGAATCAAAAGTACTTACACATCTAAAGAGAAGTGCTAACTTGCACATATCAAAAGTTGCTATTTTCCTTAACTTCACTTGCTAGCTTGCATCTTCTAAAGTGATATAAAACTTGCATACATGGTCCAAATATTTGTTGAATGTTTCTTCTTTTTGTTGATGACAAAGGGAGAGAAATGATGAATATTTAGTATCATAAAATGGTGAATGGTATCATGTCTAAAATAATGTTAATTTTGATATCATGTATGAAGTGATAAATAGTTAAAATTTTAATGTTTTAGTATCATGTATGCTATACCCAAAATGATGTTAATTTTGGTATCATGCATAAAATGATGAATGCTTTAGTATCATGTAGGTTATGCCCAATGTAATGTTGATTTGTTATCATGCATGAAGTGATGAAATTATACATGTTATACTTTGAGGACTTGAAACTATAATGATGCACAAAATTTTGATATATTGCATTTGATTACTATGATTGAAATTATTTCACTTAGAATTCAAAGGTTTTGATTCCTTTTGAATTCAAGTTTGTCTTATCTCAATATGATATATAGATAGAGGGAGTTAAGTTTAACTCCATCATCAATTGGTCATCATTATCAAAAAGGAAGAGATTGTTGAATCTTGAATTTTGATGATGAAATCAATTAATGAATTAATGATCTAATCCATATGTTGAGATAAGTGATGTAGTGATACCACCCAGTGGTAGACTGGGTGGTGGTACCACCCAATGACAGGGTGTCAGGCGGTGGTACCATTAAACTGGGCGGTGGTATTGCCCAGTGTCAGTGTTACAAGCGATGGTACCACCTAGCACTGATGGTGGTACTGCCAATATCAGAAAGACTCGGGATGAGACTAGTTTTGGCTCCAAGTTTGAATCCATTTGGAGCTTATAAATATTCCTCTCATCCCTAGTTAAGAGATACAAGCACAGAGAACTTAAAAGTGAAAAATGGTGTAACAATCACTTAAGAGATCCCCTCATCTAGTTCTAAAGTTTATAATTCTATTTAGGGAGGAGTGAGAGTTTGTAAAAGGTTATCTCTAAACCAGTGAAAAGGAGAGGGGTGTAAAAGAATAGTTGATCTTCGCCCGTTGAAAGAAGATCATTAGTGGATACCGATGACCTCGACGGAAAAGGAATCGAGAGTGGATGTAGGTCACAACAACCGAACCACTATAAAACTTGGTTTACATTTACTTTAAACTATTTACTTTTATTGTAATTTGTTTTACTTACTTATTCACTATGTTTCGATATGCTTTGAAGTTAACATCTTTTCGATATGATTTTTCATCGAACAAAAGTTTTTCAAACCAGTGATCATTACTCAGATAAATCAATCCTCTTAAGATATGTTGATACCAATGTCACCATTCTCTCCTAGAGGTCATATGACAAGAAGCTGCTGAATCTACTAACCAAACATCAACAAGCTCATTTCTTCCTTCGAAAATTGTTGTTGGCTTGATGTAGAATACTTTGCCTTACTTGAGATATTGACTGTGCAACTTTAAGAAATATTTGGTTAGAATGCTAACAAAAAAAAGTTGCTTTCTTTTGATCTATATTCTTTTTGTTCTTTCAACACTTCTTCTTAAAGTGCCCCCATCTTACCACAATTGTAATATTTGATATTCTTTTATCTTACCACAATTGTAATATTTGATATTCTTTTCTCTTCTATACTTTGATTTACTATGTCCATTGCTCATATTGGGTCACACTCTCTTGATCTTTATTTTATTACAGTTACTACAACATCATCAATCTATCTTCATTTTTTTTTACACCTATTTTTCTCTTTCAGAATTATAATTGCAATAACATCAAAAACTAAACTAGTTATGTTGGTCAAGTTGATAATGAGTTGATCATATAAATTAGATAGACTTTAAAGAAGAAGCTTGACACATTCCATCTTTTTAATATTACACTCTATCGTAGAAAGTTGAGAGAATTATGTATTAATGGTGTTGATATGATTCATTACCGCTATGTCTTGTTGTACAGTGACTTGATGTCATATACTCTTGTCAGAATATCCCAAATCTCCTTTTATCCTTGTCTTTTCTATGATCTTGGATAGAATTCCGTTTGCTAAGTACAAGTTAGCAATTAATTAATAAAATCTTTGGATTTATTTCTAATTTTCACTGGATAATTTTTCTTCCATAGTATTATCCTCATCTTCATCTTCTGTAGGGAAAAAAATACTTCCATTTATTTACTAGATTTGCTTTCCTACTTGAATTGACTCCCATAATTTACCATGAACAGTAACTCCACAACTTTTAGATTTTTTATATATTTATTAGTATTAAGAAAAAGAGAATAAAATAAAAACTGAATGTGGGCAAACAATATTCAACTAAAATAATAAATTCAAAGACAAAAAATAACTAAAATAATAACACCAAGATATAGAATAGTAAAACCCTTAATTGGTTGAGAAAAACATTCACGAGCAAATCAAAAGAAATTTACTATGAAAGATGAAAGTACGATAGGTGCAAGGAAGAAATAAAAAAAAAAACTTACACAAAGGAAACCGAGAGAAATTCGTTTCATTCTTTCCTTCTTTTTTTTTCTCTCTCTTCTTCCTTCACTTTTTTTTTTTTTTTTTTGCTTTCTCATATAGCTCTCTTTTGTGTGATTTCCCCTTATCCATCCTGCTTGAGGAGCAACTCTTACACAATAATGGAGCAATTGCTTCTATCTTTTCCAATCATACTCGAGATCATCCCACTTATTTTTATCTAAATCTTATCATTTTTTACTTGTTAACTCCTTAAATCTTTCAATGATATGTTCCATCAATTCCTTTTGCTACTAGTGGAATGATTGGCCTTATCGGTATGCTTAATACATAGTCTATGAAAGATTTTTACATATTCGGGGATATGAAAGAACTTTTCATTTGATGAGCTCCCCAATCTATAATTAAATGAAAGATGAAAAAAAAAATACAATTACAATAAATAAGTTCATAAGTCAATGTAAGAAAAGTAATTTAAAATAGACAAATCAATATTATTTTATACATGTCAATGGAATTATTGTATACATGTTGATGAAATTATTTATCATCAATACATGTCGGTAAAATTATTCTATAAAAAAGAAATTAAAAGATATATCAAAAAAGAAGTTAAAACTTAGAGAATAGAGTTTATACGATTCTTAAGACTAGCAACATAGAATAGGCGACTCGACGAAACAGTCGACATGACAAAGTAAGCACTCTATAAAACAAGTGACATAATGAACTTTTGAGAGGAGTTGACAATGATAAAAATCAAGAGAAGGAAAAAAGAAAAAAGAAAAGAGGATTAGAGTTTCTATTATACTCTAAGGTTAGAGTTTCTAATATCATAAAATATACTCTAAAAGTAGTTTTGAAATGTAGGATAGTATCAAAATTTAAACATTTATAATGTAGCATCTAGAGCAAATATGATTTAAAAAAATATCAAATACTAATTTACATTTGAATGTGCATTTAAACCCTCAATGCATATTTTAAATATGTTTTCAAATGTACTCTTAATTTTTTGACATTGTGTTGCTCATCAAAGGCTAGGATTATTTCCTGTTACGGCTTCTTCTGATGGACGGTTTTGATTGCGTGTGGGAAGAGGGAAGGGTGGAGATGGAAAAACCCAGAGCGAACCGGATCCGTCAGAACGGGTCAGGCTTTAAAGTCCCACTCGATCCGATAAGACCTGATTACCGAATCGAACTGGGCTCGCCGTCTACCACGTAACCTCTGGCGCACACGTGTCTGCTCCCACCTTCTCACCGTCCTTTCCCAAACCCCAACAGCGGCAGCATCAGCAAAGGCGCGGAAGAAGATGTCTCTTCTCCGCTGCTCCGCGCGTTTCCGCGCCGCCATCTCCACGTCTTTCCACCGGCGCCTCCACGCCCAGCCACCGCCGGGGAGCCGCCTGGACGAAGCGGCAGCAGGGCCCCTCTGCTGCTGCCTCGAGTCCCGGTCCGTCGTCCGCTTCCGGGGTCCCGACACCATCAAGTTCCTCCAGGGCCTCCTCACCAACGACGTCCTCCGACTCGATCCCAAACTCCTTCCGGCCGGCGAAGGCGGCGACTCTCATACCTCCTACATCCCGACGCCGAATCTCAACCACCGTTCCCCGCCGCCAGTTTATGCCGCCCTGCTCACCCCCCAAGGGAGGTTCTTGTACGATTTCTTCCTCTACCGCCCGCCTGGGGCGGACGAGAAACTCAATAGAACCGGTTCGGGGCCCGGGTCGGAAGAACCTGAGGAGCCCTTCACTTTGCTCGCCGATGTCGATGCTGCTGTCATGGATGAGCTTCTTGATTGCTTCAAGAAGTAAGAGTCAAATGCCTCTCTCTCTCTCTCTCACTCTCTCTCCCCCTTTTTTTTCCTCTTCAGCAGCGACGTTGTTTGAAGGTAGTATTGTCAACTTGGGATTATGACATATCAAAATAAATAACTCTATGCTAATCAGAATTATTCAGGGATGTGTTTTAATGAAATTTGCTAATTGTGTTCTAATTTCAATTTGTAGGTTGTTTTAAGTATGTTTTGGTTGTGTAGTCATCAATTTGGAGCATTGTTTTACTTCTTTAGCATGTTAAGCAATTGTGTATATTCACAGATGGCCCTGATCATATGCTAGAGGTAAGGTATTGCATGGGATTATTAAGGAATTGGGCTCAGATTTTGTGTTTTCATCAAATATGACGGTTTTATTAGATTAAACTTATAATAAATGGAAATACTATGAATGACCACATACCAATATATACTCAAGCCTTAGTCGGAGAATCTTGCATGTAATTGAAGCTTCAGATAACATTTTCAGCAATCGACGCTCATTGCATAGGTTTTGTTAAATTAAGGATATATACCGAATAGAAACTAGAAACTTAAAAGTTGTGTTAGAAATGCTGAAGTACTGACCTACAGGATCAATATCAGTATGCAACTGGTCTGGTACACTGCAGCAGGGTGGTACACTAACATTGTTAGTGACCCTAGAGATGCAAGGATATCAGACCAAGTAGTGTATTTACTTACAGGTTATGCACTAAAAAAGGATGAAATCTTTGATAATGTAAATAAGTAAATTATCATTTATCAAAGTTTGTATCATTTTCAATAACCCTCTGAATAAATAACTTCAAAGATTGCAGACTAAGTTGACTTGACAGTGGTATTGTTAGGGTTTTCATTTGGGACCAAGATATGTTAACAATAACAGATATCAAATCAGATAATAGTATATTTTTCAAAACCTAGCTTCATTTTCATAATTTTAATGAATTGCCCAAGTCCTATAAGCACTGTACCTGTTTGTTCCTTGTCCACTGCTAGATATCCAAGAATCATTGATTTCATAATTTGTTAATGTCATTTGTACGTGACACTTCTTGTGTTGTATTTATGAGACATAGCAACATGGTTGAAAATAACACATGGTCGCTTACGGGATGCTTGCTCTGAATCATTCACTGAGAACTTCATGGTTCAATTGAGAAACTAAAGAGGACAGCCCTGATGGTCATTCTGTCTGTGTCGTAGGTACCGTTTGAGGTCAAAGGTGGAGATAGACAATGTGGCTAGGGAATACTCTTGCTGGCAACGGTTCGGCAGCAATCTGTGTGGCAAAGCACCAACATCCGACGAACCCGAGGCTGTATCAGTTGGCTGGGGGAAAGGCATTGACCAAGCTGGTGTAGCTGCTGCACTAGGAAATGATCTTGGTTGGCGATGGTTCAAGGACCCTAGATTGGATTGCCTCGGATTTAGGGGAATTTTTCCTGCTAATTCAACACGTAAGGATGCTGAAAATAATACACTGTTTCTCATACTGTCAGTATAAGATATATGAGAACGCAAACAAGGATCTCCTGCTGGTTGTTTATTTATTTATTTATATATATATTTACTTCATTCATGCAGCACCTTTAGTTGAGGCAGATAAGGAAGTCAATGAGCAACACTACCTTCTATGGAGGTTACAGAAAGGAGTTCCAGAAGGTTCAACTGAGATTCCAAAAGGTTTGGCTGGCTTTTCTGTCAATGAATCTGTTATTAGGACATGCAGGTCATTGTAGGCCTTATTGCAGTATCTATTATTATACATCTTGGTGATCAATTGAAATGCTCTACAGTGTTCCTTCTATGTTTTGATTGTTTCATTATGCTGACATTGTATTCACTCTTTGATGAAGGTTACCCTTTGCTAGAGAGAAAATTTGGTAGATCATGACACCTTCGTTTTTTCTAATAATGTTCACGAGAAAGGCAGAATACTATTACTTGTCTCATGGCCTACCTTGATATTAGAATTGGTTGTTATGGTCTGAAAGCTAATACTCATCATATTCTTCTCCAATATACCTTGGTAACTTCCATGAAGCAAATTTCTAAATCTGAGGCTGGTACCAATAAGGGTCTTTGTACGGACAAATTCTGCATTGTGGGGAATACCATGTGTTCATCATATTCTTCTCCAATATACCTTGGTAACTTCCATGAAACAAATCTCTAAATCTCAGGCTGGTACCAATACGGGTCTTTGTATGGACAAATTCTGCATAGTGGGGAACACCATGTGTTTGTATGCTCCTGTTGTTCAGTGCTGATTTGGCTGGAGGCAGTGAAGGAGGAAAAGGCAGAGAAGAATGAGGAGGCTGATGTGGAGGTAGGGGCAATGCCATGGGAGGAGGTGTTAGAACCCTTGCAGATTCTAAACTTGGGGTTGATCTCTTTAGGGGATCGGCCTCCTTGGAACTCTATAGGGGTTCCTCCCTCCAAGTTGCTGCTCAAAGGCTGCATAAAAGATTCATCTATTGCTTGAGAAAAGAGGAGGAATACATGGCTATTTATAGGGCTTCTAAACCCTAACTCCTAATAGGACTCTTACTTAAGACTCTTACTTCTAACCAACTCCTAATAGGACACCTACTCAAGACTCCTATTCCCTTACAACTCCTAATTCTTCTCTAAGAAAAAACC